CACCTCCTCCTCCGCCGCCCGGTTTCGGCGGTCCACCACCTCCGCCACCGCCAGGCGGACCTTTTTCAACCGGTCCCCCGCCGCCGGAGTTTCCCTTCAACATTCGCCGAGCGATGTTCGAGCCGAAGAAGGGCCTGAAAAAGCCCAACTGGAAGAAGCTGACGCCCAATAAGGTGCAGGAGAACTCAATCTGGACGCAGGTGCAGACGGATGAGGCCGTCGTCTCCGATGACCTGATTGACTCTCTGGTGGAGAACTTTGCCTCCGCCTCGGCGGCCGTTGGTGGCGCCTTTGGCGGCAAAGGCGGCGCCGGCGGTGGCCCCGGCGACCGGAACTCAGTGGCAAACGGTGCCGGCAATGGAAAGGCGAGCGGCGCGGCCAGCTCAAAGAAGGTCATCAAGTGTCGGGTGCTCAGTGATAAGACGGCGCAGAGTTTAGGTACAGTTGTGCAGTGAGGTTTTGAGGATTTGTTGATCAGTTTTCTTTTTGTTTGTTTTTTATAGGCATTCTTCTCGGAGCACTAAAGATGAGCCCTGAAGATCTCTCCCGCGATGTGATCACCATGAATGAGGAGCACCTCTCCGAGAACATTCTCGGCCAGATTCTGCACTACATGCCCACATCAGAGGAGCTGACCAAGCTGAATGAACTCGCCAAGCAGTTGCCCATTGAGGAGTTTCACCAGGCGGAGAAGTTTGCCATTGCTGCACGTTTTTTTTCTGTTTATCAACCAAGTTTTCCCTTTTTAACAAATTTTAAACTTTTTTCCTCTACAGCTCGGCTCTATCAAGGGACTACCGAAACGGCTGCAACACATGCTCTTCAAGATGAAGTTCAACGAAGTGCTCACCGAGGTGAAAAAAGACATTGTCAGCTTTACGATGGCCTGTGAGGAGGTGCGCAAGTCGACCAAGTTCAAGACGGTCATCGAACTGGTTCTGGGCATCGGCAACGTCATGAACGCCGGGGGTCGAAACGCTCGGGCCATTGGTTTTGAGATCAGTTTCCTGCCTAAACTGAACTCCACCAAAACGGTAGACAACAAAAGTACACTGCTGCACTTTATCGCCGCCAAAATGGAGGAGAAGTTCCCCGAGTCGGCCAAGTTCTACTCTGACCTGATGAACGTCGACAAAGCGGCAAAGGGTGAGTGTTTTTTGGATGTTTCTTTCTGTAGTTTATACAAATCTAACAAACCTTTTTAATTAACCCCAAACACTAATTAGCTTCTCCGGACAACATCGTCAAGCTGCTGTCCTCGATGAAGTCGAGCATCAAATCGCTGGACCTCGACCTGAAGAACTTCAAGGCCCATTCGGAGGAGGACCGCTTCGGCTCGGTGATGCGCGACTTTGCCGACCACGCCATCGAGCAGTACAGCATTCTGGAGGGCATGCACAAGCGGATGGAGGCGCTCTACCTCGACCTGGCCGCCTACTTCAGCTTCGAGCCGAAGCAGTACACCATGGACGAGTGCTTCGGCGACATTAAGCTCTTTAAGGACCAGTACATCGCCGCGGCGGCGGAGAACGTCGCCCGGCGGGAGATGGAGGAGAAGGCAAGGCGGGCGAAGGAGCAGAAGGAGAAGATGGAGAAGGAGAAGCGGGAACGGGCGAGCAACAAGATCGCCATTCCCACCTCGGGCAGTGACACCAATGACCAGGGGCTGATGGAGCACCTGCTCAACTCGCTGCACAGCGGCACCGCCTTCGCCCAGCGGCGGAAGCGGCCCAAGGCGGTCACACCTCAGGGTAAAATCGAAGTTTACTGAAACTTTTTAAAGTACTTAAAACTTATTTTTGCTATTTTTTTCTTTTTTTAGATCGCCGCCAACAGCTGAGCCGATCTCGTTCTCGATCTTCACTGGACCAACGTGGCGGTTCGCTGCTGACGCCCGCCACGCCTACCTCTGCCGGTCCTCAGCAAGGTGAAAGTACGGGCGGTAAACAGGCTCCCTCTGCCTCATCGACCAACTCCTCAAGCAGAAGGAATGAACACTTTTAGGGGGCACAAAAAACAGATATTTCATACNGGGGCACAAAAACCGATATCTCATAAGCCAAAACATTGTCATCCTCAGTAACTAACACACACATACACACACATTTTTCTGACACTCGCTCTAACTGGTGCACTTTACTCTACATTTCAAAAAGATAGTTTNCGCCAAAACATTGTCATCCTCAGTAACTAACACACACATGCACACACACATTTCTCTGACACTCGCTCTAACTGGTGCACTTTACTCTACATTTCAAAAAGATAGTTTTGATAGTTTTGTAACACATTCCTCTCGTTGTTTCACTCGTTTTCTTTTTAATATTTGCCACCTTTTTTCTTGTTGTTATGTTCTGCACTGCTGTTAAACTTGCTTTGATTTGTTCGTTCTTTGTTTCCACACATTCTTTTATACTTTTTTTCAATCACATTACTTTCCACTACATCACACTTTGCCTCGCACACTCATTCCTTTTGTTTAATATATTTTGTTTTAATGTTTTTTTCCACAAAATAGTTTTTTGTATATTTTTTATTTAAATTGATAACAATTACTGATTCGCACATTTTTGCAAAATGTTAACTACATTTTTTTGTTTTGTATTTTTGCAATGGAGGGAACTGATAGGTTTTGCTGGTGCTAATTTTTTAGCAACTGTTTAAAAACAACAAACTCACTTGTTGTGTCAAACTTTTTTTGTGATTTAGTTTCTTTACAGTAACCTTGACGTTCACTTATTAGCCTTTTTAGTTACTTACAATTCTCTTTTTATCCATTTCTTCAAATTTGAAGTATTTTTTACTTTTTAATTGATGATGGTGCACTTATTTGACAAAGAAAAACACAAGTTGAAAAAAATATAAAATATTTTATTAGTGAATAAGGATTGATTAAACCAGAAAAATGAGGTCTAGGACACTCTACAAAGCAATAATGGGATTTAGATTAGTTGAAAATTCAGTTCAGCTAAGTCAAAGTGTTTAAATAAAAAAGAATTGGGCTCAAATGCTCTATTATTGTTTTGGATTTGTGTTTGTGTCTGCATCTGTTTAGGTTGTAAGCTTGTTTTGTAGTTGGGTATTGGTGTTTTTCTAGATTTTGTCTGGGTTGTGAACCTTTAATATGGTTTTGAGGATTTCAGAGCTCTCTTATCAGCTTGTTTCTTGAGTGTTCAGCATTTTGGAAATGGGCACTTGACTGTATGGTCTAGAAGTTAGAATTGTTGTTAATTTTAAATGCATGTCAGTAAAAAATTAATTCCAAAAAATGTCTATAAAATTGTCATTTACCATTTAGACGACCAAATGATGGTACAAACAGTACATTTGCAGGATAACAGTTAAA